TTTTAAGGCGTGGTCAAAAATTGGTCCATCTGTTACTCAGCGCGAATCTGTGCCCGGCGTGTGCGGGGAGAGGCCATTGCTATAGTCCAGACGCGAAGCAGGAAAAATTTCGTACGTTAACCTTTTTATTACCTTTCTTTGTCACTCCCGCGTAAATATAGTGCGCCTCGCTCGCACAGAGGCAATAGCCGCAGTCTTCAGGGATTATAAATATATTATCTGATACTTTAAGGTTTGTTCTTGTTTGCATGTAGTTTTTAGTTGGCCTTGAGTCACAACTAAAATCCTTGGCTTTCTTGACATAATTAATAATTTTTAAATAACGTTCGAACGACATTCCATCTTGGGATGCGTTAGTGATCGCTCAGTTTTCGAACACAGTTTCTCAAATATCTATTCTTAGTTTGTTAGTTTTTGTTATCTTCTTTTTAGTGTTAAGTGGTTTTTTTAATTTATTAAGTTTTCTTTATTTTTTTTTAAATGGAACGCATTCATTCAAGAAGTTTGTTTCTCCGCAGAAGAAAATAAAAATGTCACACTTTAGTGTATCTGAGAAGGTAATGATTATTAAAGTGTTTAAATACGTTAAAGAATCCTGACCCGCAGATAAATATCCTTCAAAAAAAAAGAAATGAAGGACAAAATAGCCGATATGTTGGGCATCGGCATCATAAATCGGCCATATATCGTATTTTAAAAGAATATACCGAAACAGACACCGTCAATCCAGCTGCATCACCGAAAAAACGACTATCATTAATTGAAATGATTGACGGGTTCGAAAAAATCGTGCATTAGACTAATAGTGCACAACTTTTATTTAAAAAGGAGATTTATCTACAGAAAAAAATTGCTACATATAGTGACGTCCTAATAATATTATTAATAATTAAATTCAATATAAAGGGGGCATCAAAAATAGTCTTAAATGTGTATATATATATATATATATATATATATATATATATATATATAAAAAAATATATATATATATATTAAGCAATAAAATTACATTAATAAGCATAAAGTTAATATAAATACATTTCAGACATTAGACCAATAACATAGTAAATTAAAGGCAATAATATTGTCTTCCATAATAAATTATTTAAATCATTATAAATAAATTTATTATATAAACTTGTAAAAATATTTAAAACATGATAAACAATAGAAATACAAGTCGAAAATAAAGATAAATAACGTTTATAAGATAATTAGAAAATTTGTTAAAAATTGTCTAAGTTGTAGAAGGAGTTCATAAGGTAAAAGAAAACTTTTCCTAAGTTATTTAAGGTGTTCTTGTATGGAGGAGCTGCCGGAGGTACATACCTGCAGTTGTACATATATATGGGGTGGTCGGGAGCCCGACTGCTTGAAGTACTGTAGCACAATGACTATTCCTATATTAGGGACTTATGATACTAAACCCAATGATACAAAAGCAATACTAAAGAAGGTCTCTATGATGAATTTGTATTACAATAATGGGGTGGTGGGTTGAAGTCCCATATATTAATGACTTATGGAAGTAAGGTCTGTGATACAAAAGCATTACTATAGAAGGTCTCTATGATGAAACAGCATTACAATAGTAGAATCGTAGGCTGAAGTCCTATATATTAATGACTTATGAAAGTAAAGTCTATGACACAAAACCATTATTATAGAAGATCCCCTCAATGCATAAACATTATATGGGGTAGTCGGGTGACCGACTGCTCTTAGTACTGTAGCAAAATGACTAGTCCTTATTAGGGATTTGAAAAAGGATTATTATGGTGGCGTGTATGCTGTTTCACGAGCAATTGGTCCGAGGTAAACTTGGGCTCGCTAACCGATGTGTCCTAGACATAACAACTTAGTGCCGGTGGTAAGCGGGTTTGTTGTAGCAATACGGATTTCCCGTGGACATCGCACACCCATACCGTTAGTGGGCGACGCGATGCGTCGTCTATCTTTCGAATTGGGATGAGTGTGTTTGGTAGCACTTTAAAGTGTAACAGGCATACTCAACTTCATGTCTTAGTGCATTAACGCTATGATACGTGGAGTTTTGTCAACTGGCGTCTTAGTAGCGTGCTACTATGATACGTTGGTGATATTTTTTAGTTAACAACAATACAAACTTTATTACCAAAGTCAATAGGGATCATGTAGGTGTGTTGTATAGGGGCGCCGTTCGCATGATAGTTGCATTGATGCTTACTGCTTCTTGCGGTATTGCGTCTTGTGATGGATCTGCGGGTGTGCTGCGCCTGATTCGACGCATTCTTGTGGTTTTGGTCAATGGAGTTATGCGGGTGGTGATGTCTGCTGGGATGTGTGGGGGACCTTGGGATGGTGTAAGCCCCACGATAGTCGTATTGATGCTTGTTACGTTCTGCAGCATTGCGTCTCTGCGATGGTTGTTTGGTAAGACACTATTCTCAATGGCGCCTCTTGCCTCCTTGCCTCTTGGTTTGACTCACACCTAAGTAGCTTTACCCAAGTCGGGTCCCTCCATTACGGGGCTGCAGACTGTCTGCCCTCCACGATGTTTTATATAAAAACATAATAATATATCTCTGTAACTTTCCCACCTTTGAATGATTGAAGGCAACTTGTTGGTGGGTGAGGCAAACATGATCGAAAATGCATTTACTCAATTTCAGCGACACATACCCTTACTTATGGCGAATTATTACTCTTATCTTATAACTGCATTTTGGCCATATCTGCCGTTGTATTGGTTGGTGGAGCATATGTGTCGACCTCATGCGGGTGGTAGCTGGCGGGAGGATCTGAGGAGACTCTCAAGGCTGCGGCCAAAAGCCGCACAACGTGGGACCCCATACCCTTGAGGTGAGCGGTAGACTCATGACACGCTCTGCGGCTAGTAGCTGTGCTGATCATGCGACTGGTGGTGATGCCATACACTTACATCACGTCTGCAGGAGCGGCGGTCTGGCAGGTGGTGGCGCTCATGGAGGTTTTACGGCCAGAGTGCCTATTTGCCTAAACCGTGTGACGTACATTCACTGTGGCTGGATTCGTTCATATTCTGTATGCGTTTACACGCATTGACATGCGCGACTTCGGTCGATGTTTGTGCTTACGCACTAACAAGGGGCGAAGCCTCTTGACCTGGTTCGCCAGTTATTTTGCTGTGGACTACAGTCCAGTTCCCGAATTAACGTTCCCTTCGGGGGGAGTGCATCAAAATGGTTGGCGCTCACCGCGCACGGCGTGTGGACACGGCTCCGTGTGCCTCCCCTACATTTTTTCAATAAATGTAGGAGAGCGAAGCCCTTGTATCGGGTACTTTGTATAAATATATTGTGAGCCTTTTCTAAGTGGGAAGGGACAAATAATAATAAATTAATAAAGTAAACCTGATACAAGTGGAATAGGAACGTTTTATGTTCTTAACCTTTCTCGAGCCCTGTCTTCGTGAACGGGGTTCACTTAGCTTATAAGGCACTACCAACAGCTTTCAATTGCTCTAGTGAATATTCATTCTTCCAAAAGACACTTAAAAGAACTAAGTGCCTAAACAAACACAACGTAAATAAGGGTCCTAACTAAGACGATCACGGCAAAAATATTACAAACATATTTATTATTATGAGAGGGGGGAAGCGTTACAATATCATAAATGCAGACGAATCCTTACCAAACATGAGCTTGAAGAAGAATTTCATTTATTTAAGCAACCAAGGCTCATATTTTATTAGTATTACTTATAATTAAACGTATAGCTATGTTAGTAAGCATAATATTATTATTATATATAATTATGTGAAGTACAAAAAAAAGATACATTTATATTTATATGTGCCATTTTCTTACCAATCCACCCAATATGGCGCTACAATGGCACATGTATAGGCAGTCCAGCCTGCTAGCAATCACTTTCAGGATACTATTGTTACTCCCCCGCACCCAGCGCACTAGAGACGCGCACCTCTTGCGCATGGTCGCGTAAACGCAGTCCACTCGCGCTTCCGCGAACATCCCCGATGCACTACAGAAGCGAGGCAGTCCCAGCAGCACCCTAAATGCGTTGTTGTATTGTACTCGGAGGGCGTTGTAAGCCTTTGGAGGATATCTAGCCCACAGGCTGCGCGTGTAAAATGACGTGCAGTAAGCTCTAAATAGGGCTATTTTAACTTCCCTTGAACAGCGTGCAAACCTGCGAGCTATCATGTTCGCTCTTACTGACAACGCCCTCCGTTCCCTCTCAATATCATCATCATCCCTGAGACGAGGAGTCAGAACATGGCCAAGATATTTATACCTAAACGCTCTTTGCAAAATATTACCATTAATTGAAATAGATGGTACTAAGTCATGTCTCTTATTCCCGGTCTCAAAGAACATGACATGGTTCTTTTTTGCATTATAAGTCAAACCATGAGTGAGGGCGTAAGCTTCACAAATCTTCACCAATCTTCGTAGGCCGCATATAGATGCACTCAACAACACCATATCATCTTCGTAACTGATGTTGTTGACGCAGACGTCGTGTATGTGACAGCCGATTCTGATGCTGTTGAGTTTACCTATCAGCTCGTTTACATACAGGTTGAAGAGAGTGGGTGAACTCAAACCCCCCCTGTCTCATCCCGCACTCCAAACTGTATGATCTAGATAGGGCACCTTCCCATCTCACATTATTGACCTGGTTCCCGTACCAATACTTCAAAATTTTGACTATCTCTTGTGTGTATCGAACTCAAAAAAATATCTTGTTGATATATCGAACAATGTCTGCTTCGGAAGTATTTTTATGCACGTTGGTTATAAACAGAGGTGTTTTTCTTTTCGCTGCTCTAAATATCTCATCCACTTCTACCACAGCTATCCCTGATTTTCCTTCAACGCGATTTTTGGATTTCTTTCCCTTCCTCTGAACAACTGTCCACTCATTATTAGACTTTAAAGTCACTTGCGCATACGACTCATTATCCGTCGTTCCAATGCCAGCTGACTGGTGGTTAGGCGACAGCCGATTACGGTCACTTATGATAGGCTGCATCGCGGTTCGCGTCGTCCCTGCGACAACCCGTCACTGAGCCAGGCGTTTGTTGAAATGTTGCATCAGATAATGTTTCACTACTGCCCTCAGACTGCTTTTCGTAAATTTTTATATTTTTTAAACTATACTCCTTAGCTGTTGAAGGTTCACAGCTAGGTTTGCCTTCACTACTATTAACAGTCGACTCATCGAAAAGCGATAACCCTATAGGACCGCTGTCACGATACGTGCCTCTCTTCATGTTGATCCTAGCCGCTGAGAAAGGTGGCGAGTTATTTTTAAAATTACATAACACTTTCTTTTATATCCTCTAGCTGCTCAACCGTTACGTACGTCGATTTAATCTCCTTAATTTCAGACTGTATCCGTACAAAATCTTCTAAAAACTTGGAGACATCTAAGTGGTCGAAAGTTATAGGTGGTAGCTTCTCAAAGTCCCTAGCTACAAAAATAGGCAGCTTATCAGGATCCGTGACTTTAAAAAAGTTGAATATGTCATACAGCACTCGATTATCCTTTCCTTTTCCTTTACGCACAATTTTTCGTAGCTCTGACGGTACGGATTCAAATAATAACGTATGGGACTTTTGAAATTGTTCACTCGTAAAAGATGATGCACAAATTTTAACCAAACTTTCTTCGTCAGCTATCGACATTTTATTCTGTACATAAGACAGAAGCTCATCAATTACGATATTACAGTTAACACACTTCACTGTAGTAGACATTTTTACTCCTAACACAATTTCGCAATCGATCACACGTGCGTCACGGATAGATGCGCGCGCGGAACTTATTATTGTTGAAAAAATTACTGAAACATTTGAAGTTTAAGTATATCAAACGAAGAAGAAATAACGGGTTGATCGACAGAGATGATATAGCATTGTCGCGTATCAAATATTTGAAAAATATAAAAACTTACCGACAGCAAAAACGACCAATATATTACTCGGATGAAACTGGGGTGGATGAAGGTAAGACATTATTATTATATACTGACAGACTTAAATTCGTGTATAGGACTTCATATGTCATCGAAATATTTTTTAATCCTTTAAACGTTTCGATTTCCTTACAATTTTTCCACAACTGTCGAACACAAAAGGCACTGCATATTATTTATCTCATATAACTTAACTTGTAATTTAAGACATCTATATTATTTATTTAATCACGCATAATAAGGAAAAGCAATTGATTAAATCCATACTAATGATATGATGATAAATGATGATAAAATAACTCTGTCTGTCTGTCACCTTTTCACATCTAAACGGCTGCGCTGCTCTTGATAAAATTATATATATATATATATATATATATATATATATATATATATATATATATATATATATATATATATATATATATACAAATTTTAACCAAACTTTCTTCGTCAGCTATCGACATTTTATTCTGTACATAAGACAGAAGCTCATCAATTACGATATTACAGTTAACACACTTCACTGTAGTAGACATTTTTACTCCTAACACAATTTCGCAATCGATCACACGTGCGTCACGGATAGATGCGCGCGCGGAACTTATTATTGTTGAAAAAATTACTGAAACATTTGAAGTTCAAGTATATCAAACGAAGAAGAAATAACGGGTTGATCGACAGAGATGATATAGCATTGTCGCGTATCAAATATTTGAAAAATATAAAAATTACCGACAGCAAAAACGACCAATATATTACTCGGATGAAACTGGGGTGGATGAAGGTAAGACATTATTATTATATACTGACAGACTTAAATTCGTGTATAGGACTTCATATGTCATCGAAATATTTTTTAATCCTTTAAACGTTTCGATTTCCTTACAATTTTTTCCACAACTGTCGAACACAAAAGGCACTGCATATTATTTATCTCATATAACTTAACTTGTAATTTAAGACATCTATATTATTTATTTAATCACGCATAATAAGGAAAGGCAATTGATTAAATCCATACTACCACCTTTCACTATATATATATATATATATATATATATATATATATATATATATATATATATATATATATTTATGTATCAGGAGCAGTTCGATGAGATGGCAAAAACAGTTGGTGTGGAGGTATTGAAATTACCTCCATACCACTGCGAATTAAATCCGATCGAACTAGTGTGGGCAGACGTCAAATGTGGCCCGGAAAAATACCACTTTTAAGATGGAAGATGTTAAAAAGCTGCTCCAGGAGGCTTTAGGAAACATTTCAGCAGAAAAATAACTAGACGAAAGTGTAGATAAAACTGTTAATTCTTTTGTAATAAATGTGACAGGCGAGACATCGTCGGAAAGCAGTAACTCCGATACAGAGAAATCAGATTCTGATTTTTGAATTTTCATTTTATATTTCTGCCAAATTAGTTATTTTAACTTGATTTTTATAACTGTTTAATCAAAATAAATAATTTATATAGTTACAACTATGTATTAAATAAATTATTAAGCTATTGCATAGCTTCTATCGCGGGCCTTGAGCGTGGGGACCGAATCCAGAAATTTATTCCGCCGTAACGAAAAAACCTCACGCTCCCCACTCCGACGGGCACGGAGGTGTGGCTTGAAGGCCGTGCATCGTCTAACGTCGTTTCAGTTCGGCAGACTTCGGCACTCGGCAGACTTCGGCACGGTGTTTGTGTGCGTGCGACTAGACGTATGCGTGTACACTAGCTGCTAACTCAATGATAAAAATTCCTGAATAACCTACATGTATTGTAAGATATTTTAAAAATTATTGTTTTTTAGTTAATTTGATTAATTAAAAATATTTTAAACAATATTAACTTTTTATTTATTCAATAATTATTTATGTAATCTAAGTATCCTGTTTACTCCAAAGAATACAGTTTTAATTTTTTTTATTGGATAGATTAGCAAAAGAGCACACAGTCCACCTGATGGTAAGTGGTTGCTGCAGCCCATAGACATCTACATCTATCCTCGATTACAAATCAAAATGCAGATGCGTTGTCACCCGTGAGGACTAAGATGGAATGCCTCATTTCCAGTAAAAAGGGTCTTCGGTTCTCTACACTCACCATACGAAACACAGCAGCATTAAGACACTATTTCACACTGGTACTCTGTGAGAGCGTGTTCCTTCCCCGGTCGAGCCTGCCCATTAGTGCTACAACTATACTACTAATATAACTGCAGCATGGATCTACCATGTATAAACTATATACACTTAACTACTCAAAATAGTCTCATATTTTGCTTGTAAGTGGACGAGACATTGTTATAATTAATAAGTTTAATTAGTTCCACATAATGTCAAACATTAAACGTGAACTAATTTCTTTAAAAAATGTACAAGTTATATATAATTATATATCAATTGGATTTAGCCAGCGAGAAAATGAAATCATGTCGTGTTTACGCCATCTAGCGTATTTTTAGTGAAAGAAGTGGTGTGGTGTGGTGAAGTGGTACTACTTTGAAAGTTAATCAATGTTTGTTCGATAAAATCGTTTTACGTATAAAATGCAGTAGATGGCGCTATAACAAATTATTATTATACTTGTTTACTCCAAAGAATACAGTTTTAATTTATTACACTTAACTTCTCAAAATATTACCATATTATGCTTGTAAGCGGACCAGACTTTGTTGTACTTAATAAGTTTAAGTAGTTCTACACAAACATTAAACGTGAACTAATTTCTTTAAAAAATGTACAACAAGTTATATATTATATATCAATTGAATTTAGCCACCGAGAGAATGAAATCATGTCGTGTTTACGCCCTCTAGCGTATTTTTTGCATACCACCTTGAAAGTTAATCAATGTTTGTTCGATAAAATCAATTTACGTATAAAATGCGGTAGACGGCGATATAATGAATTATTATTTTACTTTGAATAAAACTACATTTACGGATTTTATCGCGTTTATTTCACTACTTTTACTTATTTTTAATTCCCGACGTTTCGGGTGCTTTACAGCAACCATGGTCACGGGGGGGGACTGAGATGTTTGACGTCCCAATGTCATAGTTAGTCCGGCTACCTTCAGTTTTTGAATATTAATTTTTGGTCCGATTTACGCAAAACGAGCTTATGGTATCGTGAAGTCTTGCAGTGGTATGCTTAGGTTTGGGTTTAATTTTGTTAATTATAGGATAATCTCGGACAAAGAAATCTACAAGCGGTACGTAGACGACACTTTCACAATTTTACCATCTGACAAAGTAACTGCATTTTTAAACCACCTTAACTCTATAAACTCTAAAATACAATTCACAATGGAGTTAGAGGCAAATAATTCTTTAGCTTTCTTAGATGTTTTAGTCATTCGAAATCCTAATAACACAATTGGTCACACTGTGTATAGAAAAAAAGACCCATACCAACCGATATTTAAATGGTGAATCTCACCATCATCCTTCACAGTTAGCTACCGTGGGTAAATCTTTGTTTCAGAGAGCACGAGGGATCTGTGACAGAAAACATCTGGCCGCCGAACTTCAGCACGTCAAGCAAGTATTGCAAGACAACTAGCTTCGGGTCCCGCGCCTACGTCACAGTGACCGAGTGAAGCCGGCCACAGTCGAGCGTATACCTGCTGTACTACCATATGTCAGAGGAGTCACAGACAAGGTTGGCTACATCTTGAAGCGAGCTTCTATTAAAACATACTACAAGCCGCCGAAGAAGATTAGTCAATTTGTACCATCCGTCAAGTGTAATATCCCTCTACAAGATGCAGGAGTGTACAAGTTAGATTGTGAACGTGGTCTCTCTTACACAGGTCTAACAAAAAGATCCATAAAAACCCGCGTGAAAGAACATATAGCTGACGTGAAGCACCGACGCTCCGGGAAGTCTGCAGTCTGCGAACATGTTCAAGATCGTCCCCACCGTTACATTCGTGTTGATAAACCACAAATTCTCGCAAAAGAACACCGATTCCTACCAAGGATGATACGCGAGGCTATTGAAATTAAAAAACATTCAAATTTCAATAGAGAAGATGGATGGGTGCTGCCACCTGCTTGGGATCCTATAATTAACAAAATTAAACCCAAACCTAAGCATACCACTGCAAGACTTCACGATACTATAAGCTCGTTTTGCGTAAATCGGACCAAAAATTAATATTCAAAAACTGAAGGTAGCCGGACTAACTATGACATTGGGACGTCAAACATCTCAGTCCCCCCCCGTGACCATGGTTGCTGTAAAGCACCCGAAACGTCGGGAATTAAAAATAAGTAAA